ACATCCTGATTTTTTTAGATAAAAAAATTGTTTTGAAATTTAAGTTTTTATTTAAAAAAATAATAATAATAGGAATTTATATTATTTGAGGTTATTTAGAAATAATAATATGGTTAGAAATTTAATTATGAATTTAAAATTTAGGTTTAAAATTATATAAGAAATATTTTGTTAAGATATAATTTTAAGATTTAAAAAAAAATTATGTGTGTGTGTGAGTTAAAAAGAATAAGAAAAGAAAGTAAAAAAAACGGGGGGAGGGGGTTTAGTCCCACATCGGTTAGATGTGGGAGAGAAAAAGTTTCCTCAAGTATTAAAAAGAAGCGAGGCACGCATGGTGAAGCAAAAGGGACATTTATACAATTTACAAAAATTACAACTAATGGCCCAAGATGCAATTTGTGAAAATTGCAAGTAATGGCCTAAAGGTTTGAATAATTAAATTCAAACCTATAGTTTTTTTTAATATAATTTTGGAACCCACAATCCCATTTTTATATTATTTTTCTCTCTTCCTCTCACGTTGCTCGGCGTTTTCTCGCAAGGGGGGATTATTTTCTTTTTCTTCAGGTATGTTCCAACTTTCCTATTTAGATTAGCATTTAAAAAATTATTTAATTATAAAATTAATTTTATAGTTATTTTCTAAATAGCTTTCTAGTGATATGATTATTTTGTAGAATAGAGTAAATATTCTGATTAGGATTTTTCTATAGGATAGTTAATCTGATGATATGATGGATTAAAAATATAGGTTAAAGCTCTTAGGGATATAATAAATATTATAGAATATTTTTTAAGGTTGAAACTCATGTTTAAGAATTTTTGAGTTAAACTCTAGATCTATATAGTTGAATTTATGTTGAACCTGAGATGTAGGGATGAACCTCTGATTATTAAATATTTATTTAAGTATAAATAGGTATTTTTGAGGTTATAGAAAGGTGATTTGAGGCTTCAGGATAATTCTGAAATTTTTAATTTTTTTTGGATGAATTTTTAGAATATAGAAGGATGAAATTGTGATACTAGAAGTGATTTGAGGAAAAAAAATAGTTTATTAGGGTACGAGAATTTTAGAAAAGAATTTGGGAAGTTAAATGAGGCATAAATCTTAAATTAGTGTTAATATGGATTATAGATCTAAGACTTCTAACTCTTTAAATTAGATTTATTTATTTTAATGTAAAATTAATATATAGTATTATGAAATAACTATGTAGATTGTGTTGACAAAGATAGTGGTGAAAGAGGAGTTGTGAAAGGAAACTTGTTATTCAAGACATAAGGTAACCATTATTAATGTGTTGTGATGGGTGTGTTTGTGAATGGTTATGTGTTGTTTTATTGTTTGGAATAATTATAAATTATTGAAAATAAATACTGTATATATTTGTTTGAAATTATTACCAAGTGGGTTAAAAAAATTTATTTTTGTTTATCATGATGAGATATTATTGTTCAAATATATTTCTGTTTAGATATTTGAATGATGCATGACTTGTCAGGGTATTTTAATGTATGGTGTTAATGAAAATTTCTGTTCGGTTAATTATTACCATGTGGTAAGCCCTCATTGGACCCAATGAATGGCGTGTCACTTGGTCCAACTCACCTTTGGCCAGGTGATTTGGCGTCCGAGCATGGCGAAAGGAGGATATAAGGTGCAGTCATGCAAATTAAATACTTGTTTGGTTTGTTTGAAAATATTATTCGGTTAAATATTTTGTGTGCCTACTTAGCAATCGCATGATTAGTTACAACCGCATGCATCATTACATATTAATTTTTGGTTACTGGGACTTTTAAGTCTCATTCCCCGTGGTTAATATTTTTATAGAAGTGAGTTCGGCCGAGAAAGCAACAGAGGTGTAACTATGGTGTATGAGACACCGTCTTTTACGTTGCCTCTTATTTTGGATTATACAATGTATCTTGTGCCAACTTAGGACATATCTTCTTTGTGAAGCATGTAAACTCTAATCCTTTTTATTAAAAGTATTTATATGACCAAGAGGATTATGTCTGTCCCTCTTGATTTATGATCTGATTTGAATATCATGCCATGAGGATTATGTCTGTCCCTCATGGTTTTAATTGCTTTTTTAGATATTTTAAGACTTGTGTTATGTCTTGGATGTATCATGGTAAGAAAATTTTCTACCATGATAATGGTTTTAATAATTTGTGAAAAATCGATTTGTATTTTTAAGAGTGTTACACTACTAGCCCACAAGTCATAAGTGGCCTTTAGTAAAACATCACAACTACCCAATTCATATAGGAATTGATGATCCAATGTAACCTATCATATAGCCGTATCACATCTCTTTTATCACGTGATATTTTAGTAATGTGTGAGACAGAATTGCTATTCTCCTTTACCTGACCATTACTTTCTTGATCTCTAAGTAGACTAACTGTGATAATGGAAAAGCCCTTTTCATGATAGTATGGCCATACATTTTCTTAGCCTTACTCATTAAGGGGCCTAGTAATATCTTTCAATTAATGTGAGGGACAAATTCTATTTTGACCACTCATATTCCTCTTCATAAATATCACTAAACTCAATCATAGCTTTTATGATCACCTGGTTAAATGTGACTTTTGATTAGGGCATAGTGACATGGTTATATATGAGATAAGTTTATGACTTGTACTATACAGCTTTCTCATAGCAAGTCGGTCCATCACCTTGTACTCTTTCAAGTTCCTATGACTTTGATTCATATCTCTGTAATTAATCAAAGTCATACTAGTCTTGTTTCATTTATGATCTTTTATAGATGATCAATCAGGGACATTTAGGATAATCACTAGAGCTCGTCCAAGAATATAATTATCATAGTGAACATGCAATTAATATGATAATAAAGAGAAATTCATTAAATAATGATATTCATAGTATAATGATTGGCCCTAGGGCATAATTTCCAACAGTTCAGACAACCAAACCTCAAAATAGGAGAAATATAAGAAGAAATGCTTTTGTGCTTGACACAGCACATGCTACAAGTCACTAAAAGTGAAGTAGAACTCTTGATGTCACATGTCGCAACGGAGGGTAAAAATACATTAGAAATAAGAGCATTTTACAATTCGAAAGTTATGACCATAGAAAAAAGTCAAGGTTAGAACTTGCTTAGTGTTAGTGTTACCTACAAGGACTTGTTTTTACACTTGATCAACTATATGTTATTGTATTTTGAGTACAAAGTAAATAAGGGTTGAAGATGTTAATTCTTGATGCAATTGGTAGCCCCATAAATGTGACTTCCAATGTATTTACAAGAAAATTTTCAATAATCTAATTTATGCATGTCACTCTTCCATCCCTTGATGTGTAAACAATATTTCCATGTTTTATTTTTATTTTTATTTTTTGTCTATCTTCCTTTCTTTTAATGATAACAATTTGTTATGTTTCTTCTCTCTACATATATATAATTTATCTCATTATAATCGCACTCTTTTCTTGGTTCTGTGTTCTTGCGTATTGTTTACTGATCATGTAATGCCTTCGTTTAATTGTTTTACTCATATAACTACTTATGTACTCATTACCGTTATCAAACATTTAAAAAGACTTATAATGCACAGGTGATATTATAGAAACTAACCTTGTTTTGAAGTATCAACATTGTTTCCGTCAATGCATTGATGCAATTTTCAATGGCATTTTTTGTGAAGTTAGGTTGGTAATTTAAATACACAAAAATAAAGAGGTTTTTATTTTATTTCTTGCTACTCCAACTTCCAATAGATATATTTTTTTCATTTTATTCTTATTTTTACAGGATGATTATCTGTCATTTTGTAAAATATATCATATAAGGCATGCCATAATCTAATAATAATTTAAATAAATTTTTAATTTAAATTTTGTAATAATAAATTAGTTTAGTTTAGATTTAGTGTATATAAATTATGACATTTTCATATCTCTGAATATGAATATGATTCTTGAAAAATCTTACTAATGAAACATTTTAAATTATAAGTTTATAAATTAATTTATTGATTTGTTAATGAATCAGTGGAGTAATAAATAATATATTGAAGTAAAGTTATTTATATAACAAATAAATAGAATATAATAATCAATTCAAATATAAGTGATAGTAACTCTTGTAACTTAAATGATTAAGAGTTAGTTTCAAGCTTCATAATAAAACTATGACTCTGAATTAAGAAAGCAAAACACTATCCCCTCTGAAAATTTGTAAGTTGATACATTCTAAATATTACATAATAAAGTCTCTTATAGTCATTCAATTATCATACCACATAAGATATTCATTAAATGAACTTATTTAAACCACTCATCAAATCTAAACCCATCTAATGAAGAGGATTTTGAGCAAATTCTGAGACTCAGTGGAAGGATGCAGCTTTAGACACTCCCATGTATAAACTTCATTTGTTGTGTCTCCTTTAGCTCATACAAGGAATAATGCCATTATCTTATATACTAAGATCATTATTATAGTGAAGGAAGTATGTAATTGGTAAGAATACTTTTCACATTTACAAAATTAAAATGAATAAATTTAAATTTTAAAAATTTGACTTGAACAGCTTAGAATTGCAAATAAAAAAGTAGGGAAAATTTCACTTCATCAAATATCTTTCTTCACTGTAGTTTCGAACTGTTCAAGCTAAATTTTAGCAATTTAAATATATTTAATTTTTTTATTATTTAATATTATAATAATAATAATTTTACAATGCATCGAATCCCAGCCGTTGAAATTTAGATCTAAGGCAGGGAAGAAAGGAGGCGGCAAACAAAGTCCAAGAAATCTATCCGTGAATGCCATAAAGATAAAAACCAACCTCTTTGTCTCTACTCATTTACATCAGTCACGGCAAATTCTGAAGCTGTGGTAGAAATGATCCTACCAAGCCAAGCCTTAGTTCAGATTAACAAATCAAAAGCACCCTAAATTCATTCACCTACAACATAATAAGCCAACTTGGTTCAAACTTCTTGACAATTAGACAGCAATCAACAAAAAAGGGCATTCAATAACAATCTTCTATCTTCATCATGTGTGATATCATATAATAAAACAATTATGTACATGATTGGCTTATTGCACTTGCTCTATGAGTACAAGGTACAAGGTATGCCATGTGGCAGCCTAGTATTGGTCTACATCTCAACATAGGAAGTAGGGCTACAAAAAACAATAACGGGATAAAACTAAAAAGCATTACTTTGAAATATGTAAATGTCATTATACTTGAAGATTTGTTCTCCATTGTTGCTGCAGAGTTCAAGCAAATTTGTGGTTAGACCTAGTATTTATTATATTCAATGTAAATATATGTTATTATTTTGTGGGATACCGGGTAGTTAAGAGTAGGAAGTTTTTTACGAGATTATTTCCTTTTTCTCCTCCCCTGAATCAATCTCCATTATTCTCGGAGATATGATTGTTTTCTCTCCTGTATATATTCTCGTGCATACCTTAGATGTATATACAAGAGTTTCTCGGCTCATTCACTACATGGTATCAGAGCTCCGTGACTTCCCAGTGCTGTTCGACGCCGAGAACTCTGAGACAGAAAGTACCGAGCACGAGTCGAACCCAGTTCACAGTTCTCCCATGTCGAACAGTGATAGGTCCTCGAAGACTGATCCGAGCAGGGCAGGTGGTCCCTTCGGGTCGACTACCAGCCACGAAGGATCATCGGTACACGTTATATCAGTGAAACTAAACGGTACAAACTACCGTATGTGGGCACAAGCTATGAAACTCGCGATCGGAGGCCAAGGAAAAATGGGCTATCTTGATGGCTCATCAAAGATCCCAGAAGACCCCAAGACGCAAGAGTTCCAGCAATGGCACACCGAAAATTCACTGATATCATCATGGTTAATAAATGCCATGATTCCAGAAATTCAACAAAGCTTTATGTTTCTCCCCTCAGCCCATGAAATCTGGAAGGCAATACGAGATTCATACTCTGATGGGAAGGACTTAGCTCAGATATATGAGCTCAAAACAAAGGCATGGACACTGCAACAAGGAGAACGTGATGTCACTGCCTTCTGGTTAGAACTGAATGCTATATGGCAGGAACTAGACTTAATGACAGATGTGGAATGGTCTAGCAGTAGTGATGCAATTCGGTATAAGGAGAAAGTTGAAAATGAGCGTGTATTTCAGTTTCTTGCTGGATTAAATCAGTCCCTGGATGATGTACGAGGACGAGTCTTGAGTCGTGCACCACTCCCATCAACCAGGGAAGTTTTTTCTGAGGTACGTCGTGAAGCCTCGAGACGCAAGGTCATGCTTCCTGGCACTACCCCTACTCCAGTACCTACTCTAGACTCTGCTGCTCTTGTAAGTAAGAGCAGTGACGCAAACCAAAAGAATCAGAAAGGGAAGGTTTCTTGTGAACATTGCAAGAAGATTGGGCATACCCGTGACACTTGCTGGGATATCCATGGAAAACCGACTGATTGGAAGCCAAGAAAAGGAAAAACACGAGGATACCACGCTTCTCATGATGTGCCACCAGATAAAATAGATTCAACTTCATCAACACCAGAGATTGATAAGGAACAGCTCGGTAAGTTACTCGAGATGCTCAGTATGCTTCAGAAGAATGAGAAAAATCAGAAACCGAATCACACTGTGTCAATGGCTCATAAAGGTAACTGTGCCTTGCTTACCTCTACTAGTAACTTCAAATGGATTGTGGATACAGGGGCAACTGATCATATGACTTCAGACTCTAAGCTATTTAGTACCTATGTCCTTAGTGCTGGAAATGAGACAGTAAGTACAGCAAATGGGTCATCTTCGTCGATAGCAGGAACAGGCAGTGTTGTTATCTCTGAAGCTATGAAATTAGAACATGTTCTACATGTACCATATTTGGCCTGTAATTTGCTGTCCATTAGTAAATTAACTAAACAGGCTAATTGTTGGGCTCACTTTTGTTCCACTCATTGTATTTTTCAGGATCTCTCATCGGGGAAGATGATTGGGAGTGCTAAGGTGCATAATGGTCTTTACTACCTTGACGAATCAACCGTGAGTAGTCTTTGGTCTCGAATTCAATGCAATGTCGCATCTACCTATGAAAATAAAGACTTTAAAGATCTTATGTTATGGCATAGGAGACTAGGTCACCCAAATTTTCAATATTTATGTCGTCTGTTTCCAGAATTTCAAGTCAATAAAAACACTCCATTTTATTGTACTGATTGTGAGCTCGCTAAACATCACAGATCCGTTTTCAAACCTATTGAGTACAAATCTACTCGTCCTTTTTCTATCATTCATAGTGATTTGTGGGGTCCTACTCGTGTCACTAATCGAACTAATACAAAGTGGTTCATCACATTTATTGATGATCATACTAGGATGTGTTGGGTTTACTTATTGCAAGATAAATCCTCTGTTCCCTATGTGTTCTCTGAGTTTTATACAATGATAAAAAACCAATTTGACACCACAATTCAAGTGCTTCATACTGATAATGGAACTGAATACTTCAATAACACCATGCATATGTTTCTAACAGAACATGGAATTATTCATAAAAGCACTTGTCCGAATACCCCTCAACAAAATGGCATTGCGGAAAGGAAAAACAAACACCTGTTAGAAGTTGCACGTGCTTTACTCTTTACCTACAATGTTCCTAAATTCTTTTGGGGTGATGCAATTCTCACAGCTACATACTTAATCAACCGCATGCCAAGTCGTGTTCTCTCTTATATTTCACCGCTTGAAAAATTACAAGAATGTCACTCTGTCACTCACCTCACCACTAATCTTCCCCTCAAAATCTTTGGCTGTACCACCTATGTTCATTCTCATCATTCCCATAAATTGGAACCCAAAGCTGTCAAATGTCTCTTTCTTGGTTACTCTTCTTCCACACAAAAGGGGTATAAATGTTTTGACCCAACTACCAAACGACTTTACATCAGCCGGGACGTTACCTTTGCTGAAAATGAACCTTTTTATCCAAATGCCTCAATTCAGGGGGAGAGAGGGAGTGATCTTCAGCCTTTGGAAAGTGAGAAATACTCAATCCACGATCCTTTGTTCACGAGCTCAGATCCTTTGTTACCTATACCAAAAAATTCTCGGGTTCTTAGGCCAGAAACTGAAGTGAAAAGTCTTTCAAAATATAATAAAGATGCTGGTATTGCACTGGACAAGACACCAATAACCTACTCAAGGAAGAAATGGAAAAAGAGGGAGACTATTATGACTGACGCACAACCAGAATCTGAACTGAAAGAGGTTCCTGAAGCGGAGAACGTAGAAGGTGCTGTGTTTCCTCAAGAATCTGAGGAAGAAGCAGTGACCGAAAGGGAGGAAGTGGATGAGTTAGACCTACCTATAGCTCTCAGAAAGCAACCGAGGGCCTGCACACAACATCCTATTCAAAGGTTTGTGAGTTACCATACATTATCCTCACAATTTCGTGCATTTATAACTGATCTTGACAAGGTAAAGATTCCTAATGATGTGCATGAAACACTGAGTGTACCTGAATGGAAGAAGGCTGTAATGGAGGAAGTAAATGCCTTAGAAAAGAATGACACATGGGAGATAGTAGATCTTCCAAAAGGAAAGAAAATTGTGAGCTGTAAGTGGGTATTTACCCCTAAATATGATGCTGATGGAAAATTAGACAGATTAAAAGCAAGGTTAGTGGCAAGGGGGTTTACTCAAACATATGGCCTGGATTACAAAGAAACATTTGCACATGTGGCCAAGCTTAACACTATCAGAATTTTGATTTCTGTAGCTGCAAACTTGGACTGGCCCCTACATCAACTAGACATAAAGAATGCCTTCTTAAATGGTAACCTAAATGAAGAAGTTTTCATGACTTTACCCCCAGGTTTTGAGGAAGGGAAAACCAATCAAGTGTGTAAGCTGAAAAAATCTTTGTATGGGTTAAAGCAATCACCTCGAGCCTGGTTTGACAGATTCTCAACAGTTTTGAGAGCTGAAGGGTATAAGCAAGGGTTGGCTGATCACACTATGTTTGTGAAGAGGGAAAATGAAAAAAGATGCATCCTCATTGTATATGTTGATGATATAATTGTCACAGGTGATCATAAGGAGGAGGTGGATAGAATAAAGAGGGCTCTGGGAAAGGAGTTTGAAGTGAAAGACTTAGGCAACTTGAAGTATTTTCTAGGTATGGAGGTTGCAAGGTCACAGCAAGGGATTTATGTGTCCCAAAGAAAATATATTATTGATTTACTTGCCGAAACTGGCATGTTGGATGCAGACCTGTAGACACACCTATTGTTGTTAAGAAAAAAAAGGAGAAACTGAAGGAAAATCAAGAAGGTGAGGCAAATGGAGTTGAATCCAAGAAAGATGGTTGTGGGGAAGAAGAAGAAGAAGAAGAAGAAGAAGAAAAGAATGAGCCAGTAGACAAAGAAAAATACCAAAGATTAGTTGGTAAACTAATTTATCTCTCTCACACTAGACCAGACATAGCTTTCGCAGTAAGCATTGCAAGCCAGTATATGTGCGACCCTAGAGAGAGACATATGGAAGCTGCATACAGAATCTTGAGGTACTTAAAGGGCACGCCTGGTAAAGGATTGCTGTTTAAGAAACAAAACCTAAGATCTATAGAAATATATACAGATGCAGATTGGGGAGGAACATACAAGGATAAGAGGTCAACATCAGGTTACTGTTCCTTCGTATGGGGAAATTTAGTCTCTTGGAAGAGTCAGAAGCAAAGAGTGGTCTCAAGAAGTAGTGCAGAATCAGAACTAAGGGCTCTAGCTCAAGGCATCTCAGAGGTACTATGGGTAAAAAGAGTCATGGATGAGATACATGTCAGAATTGATTCCCCATTAAAGCTTTATTGTGATAATAAAGTTGCAATAAGTATGGCTCTAAATCCAGTTCAGCATGAAAGATCCAAACATGTGGAGATTAACAGACATTTTATAAGGGAAAAGGTTGAAGAAGGAGTCGTCTGTCTCATTTATCTGCCAACAAGACTCCAAGCTGCTGATGTGCTCACCAAAGGATTACAAAGAACAGCATTTGATAGTTGTATAAGCAAGTTGGACATGATTAGTATCTATGATCCAACTTGAGGGGAGTGTGGTTAGACCTAATATTTATTATATTCAATGTAAATATATGTTATTATTTTGTGGGATACCGGGTAGTTAAGAGTAGGAGGTTTTTTACGAGATTATTTCCTTTTTCTCCTCCCCTGAATCAATCTCCATTATTCTCGGAGATATGATTGTTTTCTCTCTTGTATATATTCTCGTGCATACCTTAGATGTATATACAAGAGTTTCTCGGCTCATTCACTACAAAATTTGACTCGACTATTGATCCAAAACCCTCTAGAGAGCTCTATTCAACAAATTAATGAAACTCCCTATGTTCTTGATTGTATATTGATCATCACCAAATGATGTGCAGGATCAGCTTATATGATTCTGAACTATCATGTTCATTCAATTTGAACCATTATGTTCATTCATTGATTATGAACCACCATGCCCTGCAGCCATAATAAAGGGCAAATCTTGCTTCAAGAGCACTATTCACATTCACGCATTTCAAAGTAATATGTTGATAATTGATATCATTATAGAATACCTTCTAACATGCACAATTATATGGCTGATTTATCAGGTGTCTAGGATAAAAGAGACACTCAATGATCACGATAAATTGGTTGTGGTAGCCACTTGAGATGCAAATTCAAGTAGCCAGATTTTGCAGCCTCTAACTTAAAACGATCTTTCACTTCCCCTTCCAGTATGACCCTAGTAAGCGTCATTATGCATCTGCCCATGTAATCCTGCACGATGACACCAGAATCATGGCTTATAGGAACTAGGAAGATGGGTAATTCAGACTAATCATGAATAGACAGGTAATCATAGCATGGAAATCTAGGTCAACTCACCTGGTCAAACAGTTAAATCAGTGCCTTAATTAGTTTAATAAAATATTTCGTTTATGACTAGTTTGATCATGATTCAATTATGATTCAGACCATCAACCCTTGAACCAGTGTCTTAACTGATTCAATAACTGATCCCGTTTCAATACCTTGCATGTATTTATATCAGACATTCTTCAGTAGGTTCCACTTCTAACGCGCTGGAGTGTCCCATAATTATATTGGCAATACCTAAGAATATCTCAATTTTTTATAATTACAAGATCTGAAACATTTCCTGATATCTTACCATATCATAAGCTGTTATTTTCATTGATCAAAAATTTGAATTAGAAGAAATTAAATTGTTTATTTTTCAGGTCAAATTTCAGAAACTAAGAACTACAAGTATGCAATAGTTAAAATATTCTTATATTTAAAATAAAATAGACATGAACAATTAGATTCACTGATGGGGCATAAGACAATTTGGCTATTGTCAAATTTTACAAGGATGATCTTCATAACTAATAACTGCTCTAGCATCAAGTCATCAAGAAAATTAACATAGAAACTAACAAATAAGAAAGGCAAAAATTTCCACCTTTCCAAATGTGTCGTGGTCCCAAACTTCAACAATGAGCATATCATGTAATCCATCCTCAACAACGAAGTCAAATGTTTGGTTCCAAACAGGATTCAAGTTGTCATTAACAACCTGCAAAATCAACAACCCATGATCCATGTCATAATCCGTTGCTTATTAGTCACAGAAATAAAAACCAGTAACTGAATGCTATACACACAAGCATGTCCTCCCTGTCCCTGATGTCCCTCAACCAGCCCAAGAATGGAGAAAAGAAGATACAGAGAAGACATTGTAAATCTTAAAATAACAATTAATTGTCCATCAATAACGTTCTCGAAACTGACAAAATGCATAAATGTCTTCGTTTCTAGGCCCACCAAATCATACCCTGGTTTTGTTTTTATTTTCTGTTTTCTTCATGGTAAGAACAATATAAGGATCAGCTTTTCCCCTCATCAGATCTGCTGGAGGCAAGTCTTCAGCAGATATTACAGTAACAGAAAGGACGCCTCTAACAATAACCTCCTTTCTCTTTTGTGCAATAGTATTTTCATCATCAGGAGCTTCTACTCCCTTCGCTGAACTTTTAAGAACCTTTTCCAACGATGTCATATATTCGGGAGCAAAAGGATTGGAAAATCCATTCTCCGTGCCGAAAGGATAGTACAGAAGTTCTAGATGTACCTAAAAGCAAAAAACAACAATTAATACAAAAAAGCACATGCATTTATTAAGTTAAACATATATAGGATGGAAATATGTCATTGACAACAATTAACAGACCAAGGAATGAATATATAATCAAATTATAACAATTAGACATCTGAAAGGTGGAGAAAATGCAACCACTCTTCAAGAGAGAGATCATTCACACACCTAATGAATCTTGGACAGCAGCATTAAATTTGACCAAACAAGCAGTGATGGGTAATAGTATTGCATGAATCCAAGGGTTATAGAATGAAATAAATTTACAAAGCCAAATGCTATCAAGCACCCTAATCTCCTTGCCCTCCTATCTTGCATGGGCAGGCATGTGTAAAATATGAAATTAGAGAGACAATGAAAAAACTTCTTTGGTCTAGGCCTTTCACAACCTTTTAATGACCCCATGTGATTTTTGATTCCAACACCTAAAAAGAGTTTAACTAGAACTCTACTAAAATGTAGCTGAAAAGAATTTATGGGCCATACTCGTTTCTTCAGCCTTACTGACAAGACCAGTGTGAACCCCATGTTTCTCTTATAATTGTACTTTAGTAACTCTATTGTTTGCATTCTACACACTATCTAGGGAAGCTAGGTATCTGAAAAGAAAATAACAAGATTCCCATCGAAGTGTATTTATCATTAAAAGGGTAAAAAAAAAAAAAAAAGATCCTATATCCAAAATATCCACCACACTACCTACTTTCTCATGTGACCTCCAAACTCCAAAGTGAATAATAATAATAATAATAATAATAATAATAATAATAAAATGAAAGAAATACACACACACACACACACACACACACACACACACACACATCCAACCTAACGAAGGATACCATATCCAACTACAAGATGGCCTTCTCACCTGCCCCCTGTTCTTGTTATCTCTCTGGATCTCCAAATCCTTCACCAGGTTCAACCACACATCTTTAACTTTACCAGGCTGAAGTTCACAAAGATCTATACGAGCACATCCAATCAAATCAGCTGACTGTAAACCCTCAGCATCAAAAATTTTAACTACTAAGTGCTGAGTGTATGCATCTTCTACAATAAATTCGAAGTGTTCATTCCAAATAGGATTCAAGTCATTGTTCTGGAATGGAAAAACAAAATCATGTTACTTCACCTAGCATTGACAATCTATAGATGAGAAGGAGAAAGAAAGGGAAAATACTTACTATTGTCTTGCTAGTTTTTATTCTGTCACGTAAAGGACGAATATATAGTTCAGCATATGGATCTGATTTACCAATTATATCCTTGTTTGTCAGCTCCTTCGCCTGCACAAGCTTCACTCCTAATACTCCCATAGGCTTTAACTCTAGATCACTGAATAAGATAATATACAGTTAGTTTTGTTACCTTGAATCTTAGATACAACCAGCAATGACCAAACAGAAAAATAATCCCAAAGCCAACCACAAAAGTTAAGTTAACGAAGTAATGATATTAGAAGCCACTTAACTAAAGCCACTGCCAAAACAACTGATTAATGAGTGTAGACCTATATACCAGATGTTAAGCAACATGGAGAAACACATTTACAACAGCCATCCCTGGTTTAAGAACTCCAATTCATATATGATACTATGGTAGAACCTGTAGGAATGAGGCTTATTGAACTTCTATATTCCAGCTGAGAAAGAGTACAGGGATAAATACAAGAGAAACGTGATCAGATCTCCGAGAATTAAGGAGATTGACCCAAAAACGAATATCCTATAATAATAACAAATAACTACCCGAGATATTCTCCTAAACTATTTACAGCAAATATATACAATAAATATTAGGTCTAACCACACTGCACTTCAAGTTGGATTGTAGATGCTAAACATATCCAACTTGCTTATACAACTATCAAAAGCTGGTTTGTGCAAACTCTTGGTTAGGACATCCGCTGCTTGAAGTTTAGTAGGTAGATAGACAAGACATACAGTCCCTTCAACTTTTTCCCTTATGAAGTGTCTATCAATTTCCACATGCTTAGATCTTTCATGTTGAACAAGATTTAGCACCATACTGATTGTAGCTTTGCTATCACATTAGAGCTTTAATGGAGGATCAATATTAACATGTATTTCATCCACAACATGCCTTATCCATAGTACTTACGTGTTCCCCTGAGCTAGTGACCTTAATTCTGACTCTGCACTACTCTTTGAGACCTCTCTGCTTCTAGCTCTTCCAAGTAACTAGATTTCCCCAAACAAACGAGCAGTATCCTGATCTGATCTCTTATCTTGGTGAGTTCCTCCCCAGTCTGCATCCGTATAAATCTCTATAGATTGTAGACTTTGCTTTTGGAATTATAACCCTTTTCCAGGAGTTCCCCTCAGGTACTTTAAAATTCTGTGTCCTGCTTCCATGTGCCTCCTCCAAAGATCACACATGAATTGGCTTGCTACACTCACTGCATAGGCAATATCTGGATGTGGATGAGAGAGATAGATTAATTTTCATACTAGTCTCTGATATCTCTCTTTGTCTACTGGTTCATTCTTCTCCTCTTTTACTTCTTCTTCTTCAGGTTGTTCTTCGGAGACATTTTCCTTTTTTTTTTTTCTTTTTTCTTCTTTTGAACCATCATGGGTGTTTCTACAGGTTTACACCCCAACATGCCTATTTCAGTCAGCCAGTCAAGAACATATTTTCTTTAAGACACAGATCCCATGCAGTGATCTTGCAACCTCCATACCCAGGGTATATTTCAATTTTCCTAGATCCTTTACTTCAAACTCTTTGAGCCTTCTTTATTCTAAGTACTTCCTCTTCATAGTCACTTATGATGATTATATCATCTACATACACTATGGGTACGCACCTTTTTTCCACTACTCACTTTCAAAAACATGGTATGATCGGATAACCCTTGTTTGTATCCTTCAGTCCTCAATACTCTTGAAAATCTATCAAACCAGACTCAGAGTGAATATTTACATACATGATTGCTGTGTCCCTTATCAAAACCTGGAGGTAAAGTCATAAATACTTCCTCTTTCAAGTCTCTATTGAGAAATGCATTCTTGACATCTAGTTGATGAAGTGACCAATCAAGATTTACAGCAACAGAAATTAGAATTCTGATGGTATTAAGTTTAGCAACAGGTGCAAAAGTTTCTTTGTAGTCCAAGCCACAAGTCTGAATGAACCCTCTTGCCACTAATCTGGCTTTCAACCTGTCCAGCTTACCTATAGAATCATATTTTGGGGTAAAAACCCACTTGTATCCTACAACTTTTTTTCCTTTTGGAAGTTCTACTATCTCCCAAGTACCATTCTTTTTTAGCACATTCATTTCCTCCACCACAGCATTCTTACACTCAGGTATACTAAGTGCCTCATGTATATCAGATGGAATCTTTACTTCATCTAGGTTTGTTACAAACGCATGAAATTGAGGAGATCAGGCATGGTAGCTCACAAATTTCTGAATCGGATGCTGTGTGCATGTTCTGGGTTGTTTTCTGATGGCTATAGGCAAGTTTAACTCATCAGATTCTTCATTCTCAGCCACTTTCAGCTTCAGGAACCTCCATTGGTTCAGATTCAGGTTGTGCTTCAAACATAACAGTCTGTCTATTTCGCCATTTCTTTCATGGGTACATCAATGGTGTCTTGTTCAGTGCTTTTTCCTGTATTATAATCTGAAAGACTTTTCACTTCATGGCATAGAAGACTGAATACTAGAATTGGTAAGTGGCTGGATAAGAATTCCAGTATTTGTGGGGTGTGTCTGGGAGTTTTCAGATGCTGGAAATAATTCTGGAAGTAATTCAGAATTTTCAGAAATAGCTGAGTTCTTACTCAAAAGTTGAGAATCACTCCCCCTCTCCCCCAGAGTCGAAGCTTTGGAATAGAATGGGAAATGTTCAGCAAAGGTGACATCACAACTAACGTACAAACGTTTAGAATGTGGGTCAAAGCACTTATATCCCTTCTGGGTAGAGGAATATCCTAGAAAAATGCAAGGAACAGCTTTGGGTTCCAATTTATGGGATGAGTGAGCATGAACATAAGAAGTGCAGCCAAAAATTCTAAGAGGTGGGTTAGTATCAAGGTGGGTAACAGAATGAGTTTCTTTTAATTTTTCAAGGGGTGTAGAATAGGAAAGAACCAGACTAGGCATGCGATTTATCAAATAGGTAGCTGTTAAAATTGCATTCCCCCAAAAATACTTTGGTACATTATAAGTGAGGGCACAAGCAACTTCTAACAAGTGTTTGTTTTTCCGTTCTGCAATGTTATTTTGTTGGGGAGTGTTAGGGCAAGTACTCTTATGAATGATGCCATGCTCTTTAAGGAATAGATCCATGGCATTATTGAAGTATTCTGTGCCATTATCAGTGTGCAGCACTTGAATAAAGGTATTGAATTGGTTCTTTATCATTGTAAAGAAATCAAAAAAGATAGACAGAACAGAGGATTTATCATGCATCAGGTATACCCAACACATTCTAGAGTGATCGTCTATAAATGTAATGAACCATTTAGTATTCGTGCGATTAGGAATACGAGTAGGCCCCCACAAATCATCATGGATTATTGAAAAAGGATGAGTGGATTTATACTCAATAGGTTTGAAACTTGATCTTTGATGTTTAGCAAGTTCACAATCGATACAATGAAAGGAAGAAATTTTATTATATTGAAATTTGGGAAACAAACGACATAAATATTGGAAGTTTAGGTGACCCATTCTTCTACGCCACAACATAAGATCTTTAAAGTCTTTATTCTCAAATGTAGATGCAACATTGCATTGAATTCAAGACCAAAGTGTACTCACAGTTGATTCATATAAATAGTAGAAACCATTATGTTCTTTAGCACTCCCAATCATCTCCCCCAATATGAAGTCTTGAAAAATACAATGAGTAGAACAAAAATGAGCCCAACAATTTGCTTGTTTTGTTATCTTACTTATTGACAATAAATTGCAAGCTAAATGCAGGTCATGTAACACATGTTCTAATTTCATAGCATCAGAAATAATCACACTCCCTGTTCCTGCAATTGAAGATGACCCATTTGTTGTACTAATTTTCTCATTCCCACCACTAGGGACGTATGTACTGAATAATTTTGATTCATATGATCTGATGCCCCAGTATCAACAATCCATTTGAAATTAGTAGTGGTGGCGAGTGGAGCACAATTACCTCTGTGGGTCAGTGAGGCAGTATGATTTGATTGCTGATGTTGATCACCTTTTTCAAGTACATTTAACATCTCAAGTAACTTATCTAGTTACTCCTTATCAATTTGGGGCACTGGTGGTGTTAAATCTAGTTTTTATGGTTGTACATCATGAGATGTTTGGTAACCTCTAGTCTTTCCTTTTTCGGTTTCTAGTCCACTAGCCTACCATGGATTTCCCAACAAGTATCATGTGTGTGTCCAGTCTTTTTGCAATGGTCACAGGTAATCTTCCCTTTTTGGCCCTTTTGATTATCACCACTCTTGTTGACGAGTGCAACAGAGTCTAGAGAAGGAGATGAAGATGGAGTAGTTCCAAGAAGCATTACCTTTCATCTAGAAGCTTCACGACGTACCTCAAAGAATACTTCTCTTGTTGATGGGAGTGGCATATGACTCAAAATCCTCTTTCAAACATCCTCTAGGGACTGATGAAGTCCAGTGAGAAATTGGAAGACACGTTCAACTTCAATTTGCTCCTTATAGCAAATAGCGTCTCTGCTACTGGACCACTCAACTTTTGTCATCAAGTCCAGTTTTTGCCAAATGGCCATTAGTTCTAACCAAAAAGCAGTAACCTCACGTTCTCCTTGGTGTAGCGTCCAATCCTTAGTTTTAAGTTCATATAGCCTTGACAAGTCCTTACCATCAATGTATGAGTCACGTACTGCCTTCCAAATCTCATGAGCTATAGGAAGAAACATGAAACTCTATTGAATTTCTAGAACCATCACGCTTATCAGCCAGGATGAGACCAGGGAATTTTCGGTGCGCCAACACTGAGCCTCCTGCGATTCGGACTCCGCTGGAATTCTCAATGAACCATCAATATAGCCCATCTTCCCTCTTCCTCCAATCGCAAGTTTCATCGCTTGAGCCCACACCCGATAATTTTCTCCATTGAGCTTAACAATGATGATATACATTGACGATCCTTCGTGACTGGTAGTCGACCCAAGGGGACCGCCGGCCCTACTCAGATCAATTTTCGAGGACCCATCGTTCTTCGACATTGAGGAAGAAAGATTTGGGTTCAACTCAGTCTCGGCATTTTCTGAATCAAAGTGATCGGAAGTTTCAAAAGATACGTCATGCTTTGATACCATGTAGCAATGAGGCTTATTGAACTTCTATATTCCAGCCAAGAAAGAGTACAAGGATAAATACAAGAGAAACAAGATCAGATCTCCAAGAATTAAGGAGATTGACCCAATAATGAATACCTTATAATAATAACAAATAACTACCTGAGATATTCTCCTAAACTATTTACAGCAAATATATACAATAAATATTAGGTCTAACCACAGAACCATAATTGATATCACAAAAAGAGACACAGCATCTTGGTTGTAGTTAATTTGAATTCTTAGTACTTACTGTTCATATTAAATCCTTAGATGATCCCAATTCCACTAGAATGGAGAAATATATTCAGGAATTCAACATTTGTACTTCAGCATTTTTTATTTCCAGAGATTCATTAGTTCAATTAATAGAAAGAGATTCCTGGCAGCAACAAAAAGCATCAATAGTATAACAAAAGCATCTGCATTCTTGTCAGAATATTTACATACCTGTAATCTCCAGGCAAGATAGGTATAACTTTTCTCACAGGCCATGTGATAGAATCTTCAACAGCATCCCGAATTGTCCCCTGCAGTAATTAAACACACCAAATTACTACTAAAAAATTGCATGGGCTGTATCATCTTCATCAATGGCTTGTATGGGCAAGGGTGGAGAAAGAGACAAACAGGGGGAAAAAAGGATTAATAAGGTCTGCCAACTGTTCTTTTAGATGAATGTTGCAATTAGAAGAATTCAAACGCAACAGCACCACCGAAAAAAAAATATCATGAAAAGTTGGGGAAAATATAAAGTGAGGTGAAATTGAAGTAATGGAGCATTAAATACATAAAAACTACAAAATAAAAAAAAATATGAATTTGAAGATTTTTAAATTATGTTACTGCCCCAGATTTTCATATTTAATATATTACAGAGAGAATAGAACTCTCAATGACACGCACACTTGAGAAGAATCTGATTTCCTCCAACCAAAGAAAATGCGGACTAGATTATGAAATTCAAGTGAAGGAGGAAGTCAATACCAAATTATTGCTATTTGATTTGTAAAGAATACTCAAAACCATATTTCTTCGAAGTTTCAACAAATGGTATATTGGACCCCAAGAAAAAAAAAAAAAAAGATGATGTGCAGCATGGTAAGTGCTCAGAATAACAAAAGGAAATAAACATATTAAGATGATATAAAACAAGAATCTCGTTTTATATTTCTCTCAATAACTACATTGAAGAGGATCTCCAAAGGGTTTAAAGACTATTTTATTGATGATATGTTAGCTTTTGAGTTGCTAGTCATTTTTATAAAGCCAAATACAATTAAAAATATTAAATGAAATCTAGATAACTAGATAATGGAATAAATTATCATAAAATCTATATCTAAATAAAATAATGAATAAAATCTAAATAAAATAAAATACTGAATATAAAAATAAATATCTAAATATCCTAAGACCTATCCTAAAATATTCCTAAATCAAAAATTAAATAAAATTAAACTCAATTAATCTTGATTTATATTCTGATGCTTCTTCCTTGAATAAGTCTTTAAAGGCATATTATCTGGGATCTTATCATTGCCTTCCCCTCGAAAACTCAACTTGTCCTCAAGCTGAAAAGAGGGAGACTGAGCTCATAAAAGGTCGTAGTCCTCCCTGCTTGACTCCTCTACAAGTCGCTCTTGCCATTGCACTAATAAGTCTAGCGAGTGATGGCGAGTCTAGCAATGATCTAAGACTTGATAAGGGAACACATATAACTCAAAATCAGCAAATAACGTTAAAAAAGCTAGGACAATGAGTGGAGCCATCCCATATGCAGGTCACAAGAGAGAGACATGAAAAATGGGGTGAATTTGAGCATCCAAAGAAAGTTCTAATTCATAAGCTACCTTCCTGACTTTTCGGAGGATCTTGTAGGGACCAAAGAAGCAAGGTGATAATTTTCAGATTTCCGCTGAGTAAGTAACCATTGGCAAAAGGGCTATGTTCGCAACCAAACAACATCGCCCTCGACATATTCGACCTCTCTCCTATGGTTGTCCGCATGAACCTTCATTCAATCTTGAGCCTTGCACAGATCATGCTTTAGAAACCTGAGTATTGCATCTCTAGTTCCTAATTGGTCCTCTAATTTAGCTATCAGGATTTCTCCTTTCACATAAGGAAGCAGGGGAGGGGGTTCCCTACCATATACCAGCTTGAATGGAGAAGAGTTAGTGGATGTCTAATGTCCTGTATTGTAGGAGTATTCAGCCTAGCAAAGAAACTTGTGCCATAACCCTGATTGTTCATGTGCAAAACAGCAAAGATAGGCTTCAAGGCCTCACTTGACCATCTCTGTTTGACCATCCGTTTGCAAATGATAAGCCATGCTCATCTTTAACTTGGTTTGACTCGATCGAAATAATTCTTGCCAAAAGGAACTCATGAAAATAGGGCCCCTATCAAAGACAATTGAGCGAGGTACCCCATGTAGTCGGATAATTTCTTCACAAAAAACTACCTCAACTTTCCTTACAGTGTATGGGTGCACAAGACCAATAAAGTGGGCATACTTACTTAAACGATCCATTACCACCAATATGACCTCGAAACCCCCCAACTTTGGCAAGCCAGTGATAAAATCAAGTGAGATGTCATCCCAAATTTGAGAGGGTATAGGTAAGGGCTGAAGAAGTCCTACAGGGGCCAAAGTTTGATACTTGTTCTGCTGACAAGTGGCACAATGTCACACATAGACCTTCATATCTTCTTTCATTGAGGGCTAATAAAAAATTTTTGAGAGCTATTTAAATGTTTTGAGAAAACCACAATGCCCACCAATAGCAGACTAGTGAGCTTTTGCTAGTAGCTTTGTTCTCAATTGAGATGTGTAAGGTATGACTATTCAGTTATCATAGAAGAGCTTTTGGTCAACCAGATGAAATCTTGGCCTAGATGATGAATCCATTTGCAAATCAAGAACTACCTCATTGGTGAAGGGATCTGAAACTAACCCAAAGGCAAGATCGTGCAATTCAAGTGCAAAAAGTACTGCCATTTGAAAAAAATCTGCATACTGGGGTCATTTAGATAAGGCATCTGCCCCTTTATTATCCACACCAACCTTGTGGATGATAGTGAAATTAAAGGGTGAGAGCTTAAGGATCAACCACTGTTGAGTATTAGTTGTAATGCATTGTTGTAGTAGATACTGGAGACTAGCATGATCTGTCTTCACAAAGAAATGCCCTCCAAGGAGATAATGACACCATTTTTGTATTACCAGAACTAAGGCTAGAAGTTCTCAATCATATGCAGACTTGTAGGGGTTAGAGACCGAAAACCCTTTATTGAATTAAGCAATGGGATGATTATTTTGCATAAGGATAGCTCCAATCCCTTCTATAGACACATCACATTCAATTGCAAACTCTTCCTTAAAATTAGGTATCAGCAAAACAGGAGCCATCATCAATGCAAGCTTAAAGCAATTAAAGGCCTTGTGAGCTTGTTCCGACCACAAGAAGGCATCCTTCTTTGCCAACTCAGTAAAAGGGTGTGCGATAATCCCAAAATTCTTCACAAGGCATCCATTCTCATACTGCCTCCACCTTTTCAACCTCAACTTCAACCCCTTAGGCAGAGATTTTGTGTTCCAAGAAGGATACTCGTGGTCTCCCAATAAAGCATTTGTTTAAGTTGACACAAAACACATTTTCCTGCAAGGCTTGCAAAATTGTGCGCAAGTGATCCTGGTGCTGTTGAAAAGAGACACTATACACCAGGATGTCATCAAAAAATACCAATACAAGTTTTCATAAGTAAGGTCAAAACAAATCATTCATAGTTGCTTGAAAAGTGACTTGGGCGTTAGTTAAGCCAAATGGCATAACAGTAAATTCATAGTGCCCAGAATGAGTACGAAATGCTGTTTTGTGAATATCTGCAAGCAACAACCAAATTTAGTGGTATCCCAAACGAAGATCAAGTTTGGAAAAATAAACTCCTCTGTGTAATTCATCTAGTAACTCATCAATGTTGGGAATTAGATACTTATCCAGAATTGTTACCCTATTTAATTTTCAGCAATCCACACAAAAGCACCATGAACCAACTTTCTTTGTAACTACTAAGACTGGGCTTGCAAAAGGACTGACACTAGGTCGGATGAACCCCTTTTTTTGGCAATTCTTCAACTTGGGTCTCAATTTTTGCCTTTTGGTAATATGGGTACCTGTATGGTCACAAATTAGGAGGTTTGGCCCTTGGTAGTAAGAGAATGGCATGTGAGTGGTTTCTAAATGGAGGCAAAGTAGTAGGTTCTTCAAAAACCAATAGGAATTCATCAAATAGCAGCTCCGGGTTGAAATATTGAAATTGATCAATGGCAATGGAAGCTTCCATTTGATGCAATGAATTAAATTGAGCACCTCTAATGTTATCAGGGACTTCTTAGAGCTTATACGTCTTGCCATTTACCCAAAAGATCATGAAGAGTTGATTCTAGTTAGCTTACACCGTATTGAAAGATGCTAGCCACTTGATACTGAGGACTAGATCAATCCCTCCAAGAGTAAAGGGGCAACAGTCTTCCTTAATGGTTAGCCCAGTTAGTTGAGCTTCAATATCTTTACATATTCGGCTGCAACGAATAATACTGCTATCCTTAATTTGAACTTTGATAGAGCTGGAAAATTTATCAAGACATATGAGAGGAAATTGAGGCAGAGACAAGGGTCAAAGAGGAGAGATCCAGCAGTTTAAGGTTATTGTAATTAGGGTCCTGATAATAGGGAGTAAGTAATGATGCCTGTAGAGTGACTATAGACTCAGCGTAGACGCTAGAGTTACTCTTAGGTTGCTTTAATATTTTACTTTGTTTTGGGAGGGACTCATTCAGAATGTTTTTAGAGAGAAGATACAAGTGAGGAGAGTCCTGGTCTCTTGAAAAACCAGGGAAGGGCTGTTTCAGCATTGTGTTCTTGCATTCTTAGTACTAATCAGGGAATGAGGTTTTGGCCAAAATCAGTGGAGGTTATTTTTTAACACTAATTCGGTTATTCCGTCATTAATGGCAAAACCTCAGCATTTCCCTCATTAATTGCTTGTCTTATAGTTTTCTGTTGTTGTGCATTTAATTTTAGAGTTGAGTTCTATCAATTGGTATCAAAGCAAAACAATCCTAAGGTACTGGGATTATTTAAAAATGGCAGAACAAGTGGAATATGCCAACCTGGATGTACAAGAATTAAAAGAAACAGTTGGGGTATTGTCCAAAGACATAAGCTCAAGAGCATCAATACGCGAAAATGGCCGGCGTGTCCGTGTCGGATATGTATCTGACACGGACACGCGTTCAGGACGGGGGAACAGCACATCCCTTTTCCCAGTTTCTGGCAGACGCGGGTCGAGAAGGACTAACGCAAGCGGACGCGAAACTCTACGTTTTTCACTTCTTTTTACTCAGTCCCAACTCCAAAAACCCGATGCCCTAGGATTTTTAGCTCTAATCGACGCCCTTCTCGTGTTTTCCACTCTGTCACTCACTGCCTTGTCGACCATCGTCGTTCTTCAACTCTCGCGT